ATTGACCTGTAGTGGTTTTCTTTTTGTACTGTGTTTACACAGTTTTGGTGTCAAGTTAATATTAGCTTTGCAGAATAAGCTGGGGAATGTTTACTCCTTTAATATTTTCCAGATTTTATGTGGAATTTTTGTTAATTCTTTGAACTTTGGTGGCATTCTCCTATGTGAGCTTATAGATTTTTCTTGGAGTGGGGGGGATGTTGTTGATATTTAAAACTACAGACAGGCTCCATTTTTTAACAGTGATAAGGCTATTCAAATGATCTACTTCATATTGGTTGAATTGTGGTAGTTGTTGCTCATAGTATTCCTTTATTATCTTTTTAATGTATGCAGGGTATGTAGTGGTATTCCCTTCTTAAATGCTTGATAGTGCTCATTTATTTTTTCTTTGTCAATTGTACTAGAGATTTGTCCATATTGTTGATCTTTTCAAAGAACTGGCTGGCTCTTTTCATGTTTACCTCTGTTTTTGTTTTTCTCAATTTCATTGTTTAGTGCTCTTATCTTTATTATATTTTTCCTTCTGTTTACTTTGGGTACATTTTACTAATCTTTTTCTAGGTGATTGAGATAGGAACTTAGATGACTAATTTGATATTTTCCCCCTTTTGTAACATATGTATTTATGATAGAAATATGCTCTTTATTGGTTTAGGTAATGTCCTACAATTTTTGATATGTTGTATTGTCATTTTCAATTACTTAAAACATTTCCTTTGATATTTCTTCTTTGATTCATGGATTATTTTAAAGCATGTTATTTAGTCCTCATACCACACCTAATGTATTAACAGTGATTCAGAACAGAAACCAACAGAACAGTGTAGCTCCCAGACAGAGTACAATGGGAGGTCACCTCTGTGGAGTTACTCCTAGTGCCAGTAGCTCTCCTCATCAAGGGAGGCAGGATCCAAATTGACTACCAGTTACTCTGTCTAACATGGGGAGTACCAGTTGCCTTTGGTCCAAGATCCTCCCAGAAAGATGAGGATCCCACAACTTTCTTCCTTTCATCCCCCCACACAAGCCAATTTTCTTAGAAGAGAAAGTCAAGGAAGCTGGCAGAAACCCAATGAAGTCCTCTGAAAACTGTTTCTCCATTTGAAATAAACCATGTCTTTAAATGCATTAACTCCATGGGAAACACATGTAATGAACCAAATTCAACCTCTGTCCCCCCAACCCCCCAAAAAAGTGTGTTGTTTAGTTTACAAGTACGTGAAGATGTTCCTATTATAGTATCTTTCTGTTATTTTGTTGTTTGATTCCATTGTGGTAGGAGAATACACTCTGCATACAATTTGAATTCTTTTAAATTATTTTGTTGAAGTATAAGGCATGCACTTGAAAAGGATGTATACTGTTATTGTTGGATGAAGTGTTCTATAATTATTGATTGCATTCTTTTGGTTAATGGTGTTGTCGTATTCTATATTCTTGCTTACTTCCTTCTAATTGCTATATCAACTACAAAGGGAGAGAGTTTGAAGTCTCCAACAATAATTGTGAGTTTGTCTATTTATTCTTTCAGTTCTGTCAGGTTTTTTTTTCATATATTTTGGAGCTCTGTTGTTTGATGCATACACATTTAGAATTGCTATGCCTTCTTGGTGAATAGAGCCTTTTATTGTTATATAATATCCATCTCTATCTCTGGTTATTTCTTTGTTCTGAAGTCTGCTTTATCTGATGTGATAACCAATTCTGCATTCTTCTTATTAATATTCACATAATGTATCTTTTCACATTATTTTACTTTCAACCAATCATGTTATATTTTACATGAGTTTCTTGTACACAGCATGTAACTGCATCACTTTTAAAATTCACTCTGCCAAGCTCTGCCTTCTAATTGGAATGTAAACTTTTTACATTTAATGTAGCTATTGATATGCTAGTGTTTAAGCCTACTATTTTATGTTTACTGTGTGTTTAATCTATTTTTTATTTATCTGCTTTCTTTTTCCTGCTTTTCTTTTTTTATTTAATTATTTTTCAAGTACATTTTTTTGTCTATTTCTCCCACCCCAGCCCCCCCCCGCCCCGTCTCCCCACCTCCCTCCCATTCCCCCCACCCCCAGTCCTCATCCCTGTGTCTTTCATACTTGTTCCTCAAAATCCCTCCCCATTTTTCCCCTTAAATTCTCTTCCCTCTCCCCTCTGGTCACTGTCCACTTGTTCTCTATTTCAGTGTCTTTGTTTTTATTCTGTTTGCTTGTTTGTTTTATTGTTTAGCTTCCTGTCAAAGGTGAGATCATATGGTATTTGTCCTTTTCCTGCTTTTCTTTGGGTCACTTAAATATACTTTAGAAGTCCATTTTGATTTTTTTTTGAGTGATGAACTTGATGTGTTTTGAGTGAATCTTTTTCCATATCTATTGTAGTAGTTTCTCTAGGTATCATATATATAACATCACAGTGTACTGGTGTCATTATTTTACTAGTTTGAATAAAGTACATAAACTTTACCTCCCTATGTCCTTCCTGCTTATAGTTGTCTTATATATACTTAGAACTATATCAGTTTCATCAGCTGACAATAATAATTCATAAATTTAAAAAGAAAAGAAAGCCTATTATATTCACCCAAATTTTGTTTACTGTGTTATTTTCTCATGATCCAAGATTTATTCTTTTATCATTTCTTTTTTGTTTGGAGACTTCCTTTAATCACTCTTTTAGGGTAGATTTGCCAGTGACAAATTCTTAGTTTTTCTTTCTTGAGAATGTCTTCAGTTCCCCTTCATTTCTGAAATATATTTTCACTGGGTATGGGATACTGGGTTGACAGTTCTTTTTTTTTTTTTTTTTTTTCAGTACTGGAAAGCACTATGCCACTTTTCTCTGACTGGTTTCTGATCAGAAATCCACTGTTATTCCAATTGCTTTTTCCCTATATGTAAGGTGTTGTTTTTCCCTGGCTGTATTTAAGACCTTCTTGTCTTTAGTTTCAGAGCTTCATATGTGATGTGTCTTGATATGACTTGCCTTGGGTTCCTCCTGTTTGGAGTTTTCTCAGCTTTTTGAATCTGCATACTTTTGTTTCCTTCCAAGTTTGGGAAGTTTTCAGCCATTTTTTTCAGCGTCGCTTTCTTTTTCCTCTCCTTCTAGGACTCCACGAAACAAATGTGAGATCTTTTGTTGTAGACTAAAAGGTCCCTGGGACTCTCTGTTTGTTAGTTTATTTTATCTTTATTGTTCAGATTCAGTGATTTCTATTCGATTATTCTGCTCACTAATTATTTCCTCTGTCTTTATTCTTCCATTTATCACATCTGATGCGTTTTTAATATTGGTTATTATATTGTTCAGTTCTAACATTTCTATTTGGTTCTTCTTCATATTCCCTATCATTTTCTAAGGCTTTCATTCTTGTTTTCTTTTTTTACAGAGAAGGAAAGGGAGAAAGAAGGACAGGGAGAGAAACATTGACATGAGAGAGAAACATCAATCAGTTGCCTCTAGTATACACCCTGACCAGGGATCAAACCCACAAGCCAGTCATTTGCCCTGCTGGGAATCGAACTGGTGACCTTTCACTTTGTGGGCTTATGCCCAACCAACTGAGCCTCATTGCCCAGGGCAGGCTTTCAATTTCTTTATTTGTTTCAAGCATATTTGAAATTACTGCTGAAGCATTTTTATTATGGCTTCTTTAAAATCTTTGTCAGATTATTTTAATGTGTGTTAGTGTTGGCATCTATTGATTGTCTTTTTTCATAATTTTGTGATCTTCCTGGTTCTGGGTATAAAGAGTGAGTTTCTATTGAAACCTGGACAGTTTTGTGTCATGTTATGAAACTCTCAATCTTTGTAAAGCCTTTATGTAGCAGGCTTCCTGTGATGCCTCTGTGGCAGGGGGAGTGGGTGATGCCACCTTGTTGCAGGCAGATGCAGGTAGATATTCAAGTTCCAATTCAGCCTTCGTTGACATTCAACCATTGGTTTTCTTTTATTGCTGATTGGAGGGTGGGAATCTGTTTCTCCAAGTGATTTCCACTGACACTATGGGAGGCTTATTTTCAGCTGATAATAAGAAAGTCCAGGCTCCCTATTTGCCCTTCCCTGACACCCCCTGGTACAATGTTACAGCCTACTGAAGGTAAATACCCAGCCTTCTCATTCAGCCTTTGTTGGCCGTGGTGACGGTAGTACCACAGTTTTTCTGTGGTGTTTGGCTATAATAAAGAATTATTGTCTAAATGTTTTCTTCTTACTAAGCTTCTCTTTTCATAGTGCTTTAATTAGAGAGAACAAGCTTTTGTTGGAGCTACTTTTGTTATTGTGGGAATTTGGATTCCTGAACTCTTCAGCTCCGTGTTTTGGATGATGAGGCAAAAGAAAACCCAGGGAACTCATCATTATATCAGTCCTGAGGTCCTGAGCAGTCTTTTTTCTCCATTTTCCAGTGTCCTCTTGTGTTTACCTTATACATAGTGCCAGTGGTTTTAGCTCTACTTACCTGGAAAAATAGGGGAAAACATGCCTAGTCTATCTTCCAAAAGTAGAAGTGTATCATTTTTTAAGTGCTTCTAGGTGAGTCTAATGTATAGCAAAGTCTGAGAACTACTGACTTGGCAGTGACTTGGCTCAGAGAGCACAAAGTTTGGGCTGTCTTTGAGAGCACCTTTCACAAAAGTGAGTCCTATTCCCATAGTAGGACTATTCCCTTCTTGGTAGCCTATAGTGAAGGCTTTAGTGACTTCTGAAAATGGTCTTTAGGGGATTACTATTAATATAAAAGCCAATATGGTTATGGTAACTATTTTCCTAGGAGGAGAAAAGTCAGTAATGGAATTTGGGTTTATGGAAAGACTTCTCATGTAGCTGCCAAAGTCCTGGGTGTTGTTCATCTGAAGCTATGTATTTATTTTGAGTGGTTTTCTGCATCTGTGTTTTATTTTACGATTTTTTTAAGGTTTCAAAAACAGTGCTAATGGTATTGGACTTCTGTTAACGGCCATCTGCAATGTCTGACTGGCCCTTCATCTCCGCAGGTCTCAGCCCCACGGAGCTGCCCTTTGATTGCCTTGAGAAGACAAGTCGAATGCTCAGCTCCACATACAACTCTGAGAAGGCTGTTGTGAAAACATGGCGCCACCTTGCTGAGAGCTTTGGACTAAAAAGAGATGAGATTGGAGGCATGACAGATGGCATGCAGCTCTTTGATCGTATCAGCACGGCAGGCTACAGCATCCCAGAGCTGCTCACAAAACTGGTACAAATTGAACGGCTGGATGCTGTGGAGTCTTTGTGTGCAGACATACTGGAGTGGGCTGGGGTCATGCCACCTGTCTCCCAGCTACCCACTACATCCTGAAGTACATGCTTGTGACCTGTTCTTAGCATACACCAAGGATCTAATCAGGGCTCTGGAGCTGTGGGTAGTGCCAACAGACTGCCAAGAATCAAGGCATTTTGTGCTATATCACCAGGGTATGCCTTAGGCCAGCAGTCCCCAACATTTTTGGCACCAGGGACTGGTTTCATGGGAGACAACTTTTCCATGGACCAGGGTTAGGGGGTTGGTTGTGGGATGATTCAAGCTCATCACATTCAAGCTCACCTCCTGTTGTACGGCCCAGTTCCTAACAGGCCAGACCAGTACCAGTTCATGTCTTAGAGTGGCTGGGGACCTCTGCCTTAGGCTGTTCCAAGGAAAAAGAGGAAATAAGATGTCTTTCCCAATCTAACTAAAGATAAAAGATTAAAGCTAGGATTCTTCTAGATACCCATCTGCAGATAGAAAAATTTTTTTTCAGCCAACCAGTCCTCTTGACATTAAATCCTTCAAGGCATATTTGGGGGCACTCAAATGAGCCAAATACATGGGGATAACAAAGGTGAAGGATCTGGTCTCTGTTTAAGGAGTTTACAACCCAGTGAAAGATAGAAGTCATGCCCACAAACCACTTTGCTAGAAGTTATCAAACAATCTGAGTGAGGGGATTCTAAGAATATGCAATGAAAGTCCTGAGGGAGGGAGATGGCATCCCACTCAAGTGATGAAGGAGTCATCCTCAAGAAGAAAATGGTGTGAGAGTCTTAGGCTCTGGCCTTGTAAGTCAGTCAGGGAAAGTGGAGCCCCCTGTGCAGGGTGAGCCTGGGCTTGGAGTTCAGGGACTTGGTTCTAGTTGTGCCAACTTGGGCCATTTTCTTTACTCTCCCTAGGATTCAGTTTGTCATCAGCAAATGATAGTTTTGTCTGTTACTCTATAATCACAGAAAGTAAGGTTCAATAAGCAAAAAAAAAAAAAGTGGAGCTATAGAAAATGCCAGCCCTTTGAGGTGTTCCATGGAAGTGAATACAGTGTGAGCCATCAGGTAAAATAGGAATTTAAAAGAAACCTCAAATTCAGAGTTTTCACAATAACTACAATTGTTTGGCACACATTCAAAAATGAAGTTAATAAGCTGGCATTCTTCTTGGAAGACTCTCTTACTACACCTGCCATTGCCAGAACTTTTAAGCCAGGGTAATGATCATACTGGGGGTTAGTGTGGTGCTCACTGCTGAGCTTCATAACAACAGGTCTCACTGTAGTTATTAATATATTAAAATCAGCCTCTCACTTACGAAGCAATGTTTTTTTTTATTACAAGTTGCACGACTGAGAAAATACTTTGGGGGAGGAAATCAGTCAAGTTTAAAGCCAGTAAACAATTTCCCAGCAACGAATGTAGAACATACTGTGATAGAATCAGAATGAATATTTAATATCATCATATACTATGGTCTGTCAGAATCTATTTGATATAACCTGCAAGCTAAATACGTCATGGCAAAATTTAATTACCCTTTTTAATTCCCCCTGAAATCCTGGGTGCCCCTTTCCCCTGCTTGTGATAATGATGATGAGAGTCTCCCTCTTAATTAGAGTGAAAATGTCACACATGAGGAGCATTCATTTCTAGGATAATAGTTTGCAGCCTCCTTGGAACAACATTTATTTTCAGTAAAGGAGCAGGGGTAGCTGTTTCTCTGCCCACCCTGACTGGGAAATGAGGGGAGTGCCCTCAGTTCCTGCTGTTGAATTCTGGAGCCAGAGGTCAGCCAGCAACAGATCATGTTTTATTGACTCTCAACCTACCATTGTTAGGGAGGTAATTATACATTTCTTTGTCATTTACTAATTTGGAGACAAATCCAAAAAAAGGTTTACTCTAATAAGCATTAGCCTACACATGAAATTCAAATCAATGAGGCCATAATGATTATTACTGACCAAAGCTATACTCCACCCTGACTTGTGTATTGAGACAAATATTATTTTGTTATACTTAAAAACATTTAGAAAATAGCCCAGGCTAGAGCTGTGGCCTGTAGCCAATGAAGTCTTAATTGTCCATATTTTTGTCTATCTATATATATAACTTATATGTTAAATTTCAATAAACAAACTAATAAAAAGTATTTACAGACTGCTACAACATGAGCTCTTTGGAAGGGGAAGGCGGGGTAGTGGAAAAAGTTCTGATTGCTCTGTCCCTGGTTATTTATTGTACTGTGTATGATGAGACCAGTCAGATATGAAACACCTAAACTGTTATGGCCTGAGCCATTCACTCAACAGATTAAGGACTACAACAAGATTATGTAAAAAAATATTTGGAACATTACTTTCCAAGTTGCCATCATTAGTTTGTAAGGCATTAATTCACTTAGCTACTGCTATGTAACATACTGCCCTACCATCATTCAGTGGCTTAAGCTAACAATCATTTGATTATTACAACTCAGGGGTGAGTTAGGGTCCTAGCTGATCTAGGTCAGGGTAAATTGGTTGTAGCTTGGTTGGGGCTTCTGTCTGCTGGAATACCTTAACTGGGATAACTTTGCTCCATTGTCACTCCTCAAATCAATCATCTAGCCCAGGCCTTTATCATGGCAATGACAGAAGCACAAAACTGACAAAGTTTCTTCAGGCCTAGCCTCAGAATTGGCACACTGTCACTTCTAGCTCATTCTATTGGCCAAAACAACCCTTATGCCTAACTCAGAGTTCAGGGTAGGGAATGACTCCACCCTATCTGCGCCTCACACAGCTTTAGCAGCTCCTCAGCTACAAAGTCAAGGAGTGAAAGGTAATAAGTTGGAATGAATAGATAATGCAAAGTTCACAGGTATATTCATTCATTACCAACAGCTGCTGTATGAAATTACTGCAAACCTACATTTAAGAAACACAGATTTATGATCTTATTGTTCTGGAGGTCAAAAGTCCTAACAACAAGTTTTCGGCAGGATTTGTTCCTTGTGGAAACTTGAGAAAGGAATCTGTTTCCTTGCCTTTTCTAACTTACAGAGTCCATCCATATTCCTTGGATCATGGCTCCCTTCTATCTTCCAAGCCAGCAAGCACATTGCTTCAACCTCTGCTTCCGTCACTTCACTTTCTTCTCTGATTCTCACCCTTCTGCTTTCATCTTTCCATTATGAGGATTATAATCCAGGTTAATCTTACCACTTCAAAATCATTAATTTAATCACAACTGCAAAGTTCCTTTGCCCTATAAAATCACATATTCACAGCCTCTAGGTATTAGGAGGTGGACCTCTTGGAGGGGTCATTGTTCTGCCTACTACAGTAATATGTAAGTGGTTGTGGAATATGACAGGGTAACACAGCAGAGAAAGCACTAACAAAGCAAACTTCCTAACTGGGTCTATTTTCTTGTGGGGCTAAACTATAAACTGAGTAGTGGCTGCCTTCCTGCAGAGGACAAAGAAATGGACTGGTCTATAGTTGCTCAGTAACAAGAGCTTTATCCTTCTCTGAATCAGTGAGCTCTGCCTTCCTCCACTTCTATCCTTAGTGGTCCAGACAGAATGTGGCAGAGTCACATGAATCCCCAGTTTGAAAAGGAGGATATCCCTTTATTCAGGAACTTGCTCAGACTTTAAAAAATTTTTCTGGTAAATCATTCACTTTGGTAACTGATGGTTTCAGAAGCCTAGATGAGCTATTGACTTTGTGTAGAATGAATGGCTAAGGTGTATGAGGTCTGTCCAGAAGGTATCCATCCATGTAATATGAAAAATAGAGATATTTATTAAACATACAAGAACATTTTACCCAGGACAATGACACCTCAGTCCCCTTCAAAGTAGGCATGCTGGGACCTCACACAGTTCTCCCAGTAGCCAACAGCTGCCCCATTATATTTTCCTGAATCTCATCGACAGTACAAAATCTCTTCCCTTTCAAAGGTGATGTTAGTTTTGGAAAATCCAGAAGTCATAGAGCACCAAACCTGGGATGTAGGGGGTCTGAGTCACCTGGGTGATTTGATGTTTCACCAAAAAACTCTACATGAGACATGATGCACAAGTAGATGCGTTGTCATGATGAAGCTGCCAATCACCAGTTGTCCACAGCTGCAGCCTTGTAAATCATCTGAATAGTTTCCACAGAGGATTGTTCAAGGTTAATGCAAAGTTTGTTGTAGATTCATTGTTCCATTCACTCAGTCATTTTCAATGTGACTGGTCTGTCTGGGAAAAGTCTGTTAATATAACAAGAATGGTTTGTGCGACATTGATGTAACCTGGCAGCCAAGAACAATGGACTGGAATGAACATGTGTGAACAATGATGACTTCACTGTAGTAGTCTTGGGATGGTAGATGCCATTAAGTGATCATGGGTACTACGTGGCTGGTGCATTCAAAATGACTGAGCAAGAAGAGGAATGAATCTGCATCAACTTTTGCATTAAGCTTTAATATTCCTCCAATAAGGACCTCGGGCAAGGGTTTGATCACCAAAATATATAGAAAACTCAAATGACTCCACTTCAGGAAGATTAAAAATCCAATTAAAAAATGGGCAAAAAACTTGGACAGTTGTCCACAGAGGACATACGGAGGATCCAGAGACATATGAAAAGATGCTCAGCATCACTAGCCACCAGTGAGATACAAATTAAAACCACAACAAGATACCACTTCACACTAGTCATAATGACCATCATAAACAAATCAACAAACAATAAGTGTTGGAGAAGATGTGGAGAAAAGGGTACCATAGTGTACTGTTGGTGGGAATGAAGACTGGTGCAGCCACTGTAGAAACAGTATGGAATTTTCTCAGAAAACTAAAAATTGAACTGTAAATCCATTGCTGAGACTCTTCCCTCAGAATCCTGAAACACCAGTTCAAAAGATCCTATGAACCCCAATGTTCATAATAGCACAATTTATAATAGTCAAATACTGGAATCAACCTAAGTGCCCATCAGTAAATGAGTGGATCAGGAAAATGTGGTACATTTACACGATGGAATACTACATAGAAGGAGCTCCTACCCTTTGTGACAT